ATTCATCCATCTTGATACATTTTATTCATCCTTTATACACTATTTAACTTGTTATATTTCATTTTCATTGGCTCAGGCTAGTGATATCATAGGCCTACATTCGGCTGATTAGCCCTTTCGTTTATCTGTATTTTCTTTGTTGTTACCGCCCTTTATAATCCGGTCTAATTATACATATCATTTACGATTTATCTTAGTCACTGCTATATTGTTTATCCCCTATTGCTAGTTTGTAAAGCTTTTTTAATCATACGTATTATCGCTGAGGAAGAGCACAGGCGTGCTCGAAATATTCGAAATAAAAAATTATCTTATGTCTATTATGTCAACGTATACGACTCTACTTTGTGCATTCGTACTCATTTTATATATATATATATATGTGTGTGTGTGTGTGTGTATGTGTGTATATAATATAGGTAATAATTTTATGATGTATTAAAAATGTAATTTATATTATGCTTTATTTATATTTGTCCTCAGTTATCAAACAAAAGTCAAGAAATACTTTCTTTTACAGTAAATGATGGCAACAATTTGATAAATCTTCCTCATTTATAACTCTCTGATTAATGCCTTATCTAATCCATTTATAATACATATAAATATCTTGAATTAGTTATGATGTTTTATATATTAAAGACCAAGCATTGCCTTCTACCATTCTTTTTCAATTTTCAAATAGATTAAAAGAGATCTAAAAACTAATCTTTGTATCAATAATCATTGATGCCTCATGAATTATGCATCAGCTCTATATTAGAAAAGGCAACAATTTAATAAAATGTCCTTATGTCACTAGTATTGACAAGATTGCTTAAGTAAATTGAAAATGATGTTTAAAAATTGTCCTTTTCTTTCTAAATTGTAGCCATAGGTGAGGTTTGTGTCCTATAGCAATATAGCTCTTCTTCTGTACGTAAGGAACTGCATAGCCTTATAACCTGGCCTAGATTGTTTCCTAGGCATGAATTTTTATAAACATTCTTTGTAGAACCTCAGGGACATAGGGGCTTCGCTTAGGCATTATGATAAACTCTAGTAGCTTCAATTCTTTCCACCAAAAAATTGCCTCAATGCACACTAGTTTCCTATATAAAATGCCATCCATGTTTGAAATCCTTTGCTCTGGGAATACACTGCACTAACACAGGTATAAAACACTTCTTTTCAGTGATGTTTTTTTAAA